CAGGTGCTTAGGATGAATAATTAAGCAGTTCTTTTTTAAAGCTTTTAAAACAAGACAAAAGTAAATCTGAAGGTAACCCAGGTGAAAGGGGTCAGAAAGCAGTTCATTATACTCTCCTGTTTAAATATATGATAAAGCGTATAAAACATGGCAAAATCCGTATCACATGCCGTATCACCCTCGACCAATATCATCCCTCGGGCCTAAAGGCCCTCGGGCTGATATTTATATCTCGGGATGATATGGCATATGATACGGATTTTGCCATGTATTATTCTCTATTTATCCGAGTATAATTTCCTGTTGTTGTTAAAAAGAAACTAGCATGCAGATAAAGAAATTGGTCTTCAATCCAATTTCTATCATTTCTTTCATCCTGAAATTGTATCTCCATGGCTATCGCATCTTTAGCGCATTTTTAGCAAATAATATCGTGAACAACAAGCACCCTCACCAAAAACCTGAGGTGATCTTATGTGATTCGGAATGGTCAGCAGATCCTGCTCCACAAGCGACACCCTTCGTGATAATCTAACAAAATAGGTTAATAAGTTATATCAAGTGATTTGGCAACACACAACACCAGCGGATTGGTAATTGACTCTGATCTAACCTTAAGACATTCCCAAATTAATAAATCATTGGTCAGGTAATTGTTCTAATCTATAAACTTGACAGACTGTGAACATTTAAAATAGAAACATGTTTTACGGGACAAAGGAAAGATAATACTAGAATAAACAACACAGACATTGAGAAATAAAAAAAAAAACACGAAGACCAACACTTTAAACTAAAGCAAGAGCAACACTTACCCGATTTTTAAACAAAACTAGGGTTGATCTTTAGACAGATGAGGTATTGTGTTGCTTTTCTTTTAGGCAGGCAGTTGTATGATTTTGTGTCTCTCTGGATTGAGGCTTTTCTGGACTAAAAAATGCTGCTGCTGCTCTGTTTGTGTATAAAATAAGGGTTGTCCTTGCCATGCATTATGAAACTGTGCTAATGATTGATGTTTGTCACCATTAGACACAGTTTTAGTTCTTTTCTTCGGGTCCCTATCATTAATATCTGTTTTCCAACTTTTGGTTCTTGTGTTAGTACTTTGATTGGAAGAGGAGTAGCATGGGTGATTATTTGAATCTTGTGCTGGAACTATCTCGATAAGATTTGAGAGAACTGCACATTTTCTTGAATCATTTATTGAATAGTTGGTCTGGTGGTAATCACTTAGCTCATCATTCTGTGCACTATAACTGTTACTCATAGAACAATCAGGAGAGACGTTGTGTTAGGACCCACCATCGCTCCCCTGATGTCTATAAGCTTTTTGATTTGATGTATCCGCACAGTTTCTTGGTTCATGAGGTGTTGAATAATGACCATAAGTATATGGTTGATATGTATAAAATCGTTCATCTTGGGAGCTATAACATTTGCCACTTGTAAGACGATCAGGAAAGACGTTGTGGTAAAGCCCACCATCGCTTCCCTGATCATGCTGATGTCTATACATACTTTGATTAGAATAGTCATTATGATGGTATGGTTGGTGTGTTCCTAAACCCTGATAATGAGAACTATAAGAATAATTACTCATAGGACGATCAGGAGAGACGTTGTGGTAAGGCCCACCATCGCTCCCCTGACGTCTATGTGCATTTTGTGTCGAGTAATCATTATGGTGGTACGTTTGGTTCGTATCAAGCCTATAATTCTAGGAACTATAACTGTTGTCACCTGAGAGACGACCGTGTGATAAATGGTGATCGCCATATGATTGACGTATATTTTGTCTGTCACTCAATGGATTATAATCTGTAGCCAACGAGTTAAGCTTCTTGTTTTTGTCCATGTCCAGAAGTTGCGACATTTCTTGGTCCACTTTCGTCAAAACATATTTTGTGACTCTGTCTCTAATCCCTACCACGATGTCATCACTGCTATTTCCCTCTTTCTTACTAATTCGACTATCTATTGCTTGATGCAATGTTTTTATTGTATGTTCCAATTCCATATTCTTACTTTTAGCCTTTAGTATTCTATCCAAAAGAGTGTTCTGTTGCATTTTCATTTAAAATTGCCTCTTTTATCATCAATAGCTCTTCCTTTTTCTTTAATGTTTGTTCTATCTGCCTTATCTCTTTGGGGATGACAGTCTCGATCCTGTTTGTTGTTGTCAGGTTCTATAGCTGTTTGGTTATTCTTGTTTGTTTTTGATGTAGATATTGAGGATTTAACAGTGGTAGGGTTGTTATATTGATGTTCTTTACTTTTGTCATCTACAGTAGTGAAGGTCTCTGTGGTAATGTTAAGATTCTCCTCAGGTTTTTCTTTGGGGATGTTAACTGAAAGTTGATCATTTACACCTATACATCCAAAACAGGTTTCAGTGTTTTTGTCAATGCATTTACTATGAAATATGGCAATACATACATTACATGTACATTCATCATCACGGATATCATTACAAGAAGGGCAATTTTTGTCTATTTCTTCACGGAGGAGAGACTCAGCAATAGAGATATGGTTTGTGGAGTTCACATTGAGTTCACATTGTCTTCAAGAACATGTTGCTCGACGGAAAGAACATCATTCCTTATAGGTAGGTTTTTTGATACAGTTATATCATGATCTTTATTTTGGATATCATGCTTTTGGGCTGTTTGGGGTCATGCATTGTAAGCATTGTAATCTAACATGTGTACCTCATTTTCCTTGCAATATGATCGGCAGGAATATGGATAATCCCCCTTTTCCAGCTTTGAGATATCATCTTCTGATAGTCTTTCACATCTATAGTGAACCCAGTGCCCACTTACGCATTGTACTGCTCTTGTTTTGCAGTTTCGCTTGCATAAATAACATTTCTCTTCAGTAGTACGTGTATTGCATTGAGATTCATTATAACCAGTCACATGATTTGGTGTTTCCCAAGTTTGTAGAGCTTTTTTGAGTGTCTGAGCAAGTTTTTTATTTAATATACGAATGTCAATACAGGAGTTATTAATTTTTGTATTATCCATGATATGTTGTAACTGTTGTATGTCTCTTTCTAATAGCATATCCTGTGTGAAATTTTTCTCAGCCACACTTTTGAAAGGTTGACTTTTGGATGAGTACCATCAATATATAAATTAAAGTTATACAAATCTCTTGCTCGTTTGAGACTGTTTTTTTTTTTGGTTTACAGGCTACAGGATGGTATATATCAAGGGAGAAAGCTGGTGATCCTACATGTACTATGTTGTTGAGTTGTCGGATTTTGTGGTTTATTTCAAGTATGTTGGCAATTAAAGTATCGTCCTGATTTTTTGATTGATTTGGATTTGGGTGGTCATGAGATTTGTTCCACTCGAAAATTGAGACGATAGCGCCGTTTCCAAAAATGTTAATTTGCATACAGGATAAGCTGTTAATAATTCCTTTATATCTTTGAAGTTGTTTATAGTATTTTGTACCTCTTCTTCAGGATTTGGTCTCAGGGAGATGTATTTTGAGCTACGATCATAGATTGTTAAGTCGCACGTTCCCAACCAGATATACAAAGAAATGTTATCTAAATGGCCAATTTTAGTGGCTACGTTATTTTTAAGCCAGGCAAGACCCTGTGATGATGTTTAGCCTGACTTGTACCACCACTTTATACTTTTTTGAAGTACTGTTGTACATTGATATTCAAGGTATCTGCCCTTACTATCTGCAGAGACATATAATACATAATGTATTATATGTCTCTGCTATCTGTAATAATTACAGGAGTCAACGAAGCAAGGCTTGTTGGAGGAATAAATTCCTTTTTTCAAATATTTTCCAACTTATGTTCTGTCATTAATATAGTATATCAGTGAAAACAGTAGCTATACAATATAAGGGTTACACATGGACAGTTATTCAAAAAATTTAAAAAGTGCACGCGCCATTAATTTTGCAAATGGCGGTCACTACAAGAAAAAATAGTCCGACTTCAATAGCCTAATTCTATAATTTCTATTTATAAAATCTAAAAAGTAATGATTATTAAACACTCTGAATTACATTGTATTTAGTAAATTAAGTAAAGGTTTGAATTATAACAGGTGGGGCTTAAACTAACTTTTGAAATCCAAAAAGATTGCCTTCGCGGGGGTCAAATTACACGAGGTAAATTTGAAAAGGTATAAACTCGTCTGCTATTTTTTAAAATGTCAATTTTAAATCTGCGCCAGTGATAAATGCGCGTAGATGTCACCAGATTAATTATAACACAAAAAGTTCTTGAGAGCACTGAAATAAGCATTATAAAACAGAATTTTTCTCTCTCGAGCCAACACCATGCACTTCCACCACATTCCAATTGTATAAGCAATCCTTGAAAGTTTTTGAAATTGTATATATATACTAGTATCATAATTACAGTATGGGATGTATATTTTTGTGAATATAAAAATTATGTGGGGAACATTATGTTGCGACAAATCTTGACTTTTTGAAGCTTTCGTTGAAGATATTTCCAGTTTATTCTTTGCATGATTCTTAATCATAAACAGAAACATGTCAATAAACTTACTTGAGAATAATTGATTCATAAATACTGATTCAGATATCTATATATATTTTACAAATTTAGTCGGTAAGGATTTGTACAGTTAGTCATTATACAAATCCTTGCTATAAAATGAGAAGATATGGTATGTTTGCCAATGAGACAACTCTCCACCAGAGACCAAATGACATAACAGTTCACAACTATTGGTCATCGTATGGCCTTCAACAATGAGCAAAACCCATTAGAATATAAATGCTTTTACAAAATTTATATTAATTTATCAAAAAAAGAATATGGTGGGTTGGCAGTTAGATCCTTTATTTTAGTTGTACTTTAAAATATGCAATCAAGAACTGGCAGGTATTAATTTACTCATCGCAGTGAGACGAACTCTTAGGACGAAACAGAAGTACGAGTTGTCTTGGGCCGAGGCTATACACTATGTCCTGTCCAATCAGATTTTGCCCTGTATATTTGTTGATTGTGGTAACGAAAGTAGATCTATACCAGAATCACTCATAGAACTTTCTGTTTGGAAGTCATTTTCATAAACAGAGAGAGTAAACAATATCTTGCTGTGAAAAGTAAGTTTTTATGGTATACAACTAAACTGAGTTGCCGTGTCGTCATTGTATGACATCTTCGAACTGTCGATTTGCACTAATGGTCTGTATACAACTGACTAAGAGGGGCCAAATCAGAAAGTGTTATGTCCTGATTTGGACGAATTCTTAGAACGAAAGTAACAGTTCGAGTTGTATTTGGCCTAGGATAGATACTCTCTACAGTTCAATCAGATATATTGGCCTGTATTTCTGTTGATTGTGAAAACGAAAGTAGATACCAGAGTCAGAGAAATTATGTTTTGTTTGGAAGTCTTTTTTCATAGAGTCTTGAGAGTCACTTGTTGTCCAGTATCGAGTTGCGAGTTACAAAAATTACGAAAGTCGAGTTGTGAGTTACAAAAGTCGAGTTGCGAGTTACGAAAGTTGAGTTGCGTGAAAATGGGGAAAACTATTTAAAATTTGTTGGTGTATACCTCTTTAACATTATTGAATGATCATCAATGATCATTGCTTATAGAATTGTATACAGTATTGTTGATTCTTTTTTACAATTTGTCTGTATTTACTACTCAGTATATAACAGTCAGGGATATACCTCTATAGGGTTATGAGAGAAAAATAACATACATTTGTTATTGTGGAGTAAAAAATCAAAGAACTGATAACATATGTATGTTACATGTTTCAAAGGGCCAATATACATCATTTATTTTGTTAAAATGTATACAAGTTCTATTGATATTATTATTGTCTATATATATACTAAACTATAGAAAGATATACACGCTTTTTCAACGGTTTAGACGTGAGGATTTTGTCACATTGCGTGTACACGCGTTTTGCCACTTTACTAGCAATTACACGCTTTTTCGTTGTTTTGATTTTTTGGTCGTTGGTGATATCGCGATTCTCAGGTTTTTTCATTATTTAAGGTAGATGGGGTGTCTAAATTATAATCCATAGAATTTTTTAATAATTTGCCAAAATGTAGTTTATATCATGCTTTTTAAAAAAAAATAATAAAAAGAATGGGTCACGGGGCTTATTTTCACGCTACAGGTTGTGCAAAATTGACAGATTTTGTATAGATTATGCATGGAAAACCCAATTTTCTGCCAAAAAACGAAAACTACACCATAGAACTTTGAGATAAAATATGAGAAGATAGCTCTAATATCATGCTTTCAGATAAGAAAAAGAAAAAATGGGGTCACGGGACCCGTTTTCTTGCTATATAATAAAATAGGTAAATTCCTAACACATTCTATTGTAAAAGTAACTTTATCTGAATTATCTGCCCTTACATTTGAGTTGCCTCCCCTTATGTGGCAAAGTTGGAAAAAATTGAATTTAAAAACAAAAGTATTCTGTTTTTTGTAAAATACAACCATAAATATGATAAAACATGTCATTTTCTATATTGAAATGAAAATTCTTACACATAAACTACCTACTACTCTCAAAATTTGCACATTTTCTTAAAGATCTAGACCGATTGTTTTCTGGTATTTCAAAATCCAAGATGGAGGAAGACACCCTATCTACCTTAATAGACAAAAAATACCGAAAATTTCGAAGTAATTGTATCGTCGCCATTGTTTATTTTTCTATATGGACAAACTGCAAAAGCCCTTAAGGTAAGTAGTTTGTGATTAGTTTTTACGATTTTGTGACTTTCTTTCTTTCAAATTCACTTAGGGGAAATGTCGACAGAAATAGTTTGCTTTCAGGACCTGTACCGTCGTCTAAAGAGCCGATTGCTAAGCGAAAACTATGTGTACGTACCAAGATACATTTCAAGATTTACAAATTATATTTGGGAGTTCATGTTTAAATTATTGAGAGACGAGTAATGCATTGTGCTCCCTATGTTGCAATTATAACAATACATGTGAGAGGAGAACTACAATGTAGCGATTTGATTAAGCATTTAACGTGCTTAATGGTAATCAAATAATAAAATACTTTTCTTTTTCAGTTTCAAATCTAGCCAAACAGATTCCCACAGGCCAAAGGGGATGGAAATATCATGGAACTGTTGGATCAGTTCTCATAGTACCAGCTGTCTTCTGATGAACTACCCAGTTTTGACCAGACAATAGCCTCAGAGACAATAGCAACATATATAGTTTGTTGGGAGCAATGGCAAAGATAATAGATGACATTTTAGATGGCAAAAAACGTTATGACACTCTTTCAAAGCTTGATCAAGCTATTTAAGTTCAGCCAAATATCAATTCTGACTGTGAGAGAACATTTTCAATTATAAAGAAATCTACACTGAATTCTGATCAGAACTTGACAATGATATATCATGTATATTGTGTGCCTTGTTATCAAGTAAATGTAATCAAACTGGCAGTTGTTTTGGATATGTGCCTAAGCCTAGGGTGTTGCTTTAAAAGCAGCAAAACAGACCACTGTTGAATACAATAAAAGTTTACTCTAGAATATTGTTTTTATTATATATTAACAAATTTGTATAATCATGATAATGTGAAATTATGAACATTGTTCATATAAAAAAGTCTGCATCTTCGTCGCGCGTTTTCACACGCTTTTTGACATGTCATGTCATGTCATGACATGATTTCTCATTGTCAGAGGTTGGCAAGTATGTCATAGTTTGCCAATCATGCATAGTACATCTATGTTATTACAGTAAAAATATGCCTGTAATAACTGAAGGGTGTTATTACACCTTCTCTACATCACTTCAAAGTCTTTGCTCAGACATACATCATGCTTAATCACAATGTATTTTTTATTTATTGTAAGAAATAATGATCAGAGCATGTAATGAGGTTCTGCACAAGCTTCCCAGTAATTCCCAAGTGTCTCATTTAATAAGTTACATCAGTCAGGGGACTTACTTAAATGAGTGATTTCTAAATCACTGATTCAAGTAACATTTTGTTCACAAATGTTGGAAGTAAGAGTTGTCTTTCTTTAATAATCACCTGTTTAAGTAGTACAAATAAATCACTAGACTAAGTGATTTAATTTTATTGTAGCTTTAAATATACAATACTAATGATCCAGGGACTAATTATGTTGCTAAAATTATCAGAATCAACATCTGTGTTGATAGGATGACCAGTCATGTCAGGTGATGACCTTGTACTGAATCTGGCATGGGATAATGACATTAAAATCACTTGTTTAAGTATCATACCTCTATTTTCTTCCAAAAAAAAAATTCTTTTAAGTATTATTATTTTAATTACCCTCAATAATTTCAACACCCCCGAACAGTGAAATTTTGATCACGAACAGTAAAATTTTATTACATAATCTGTAAGATGAAACCTTGAATTTTACAGGAAAAATACTCCCACTGCTGGGAAAAATCTGTTAAGAAAGAGAGTAAGTTCATTATGTAAAGCCTTTATTATAGCATTTTTTCAACAAATATAGAATTTACAGCTAAATGATTGCATCAAAGGCATAAACCTTGCTACTTAAAAGAAGCAAAAGGTTCATTTTTTTTCAATTTTACTAATCATAAGATATAAACTTAACCTAAATGTTTAAAATTTTGGTAAAACTACGTATATATATACAAAAGCACAATTTGTGACAAAATTTCGAATTTGCTACTTAAATAAGTGATTTTATAAATCACTTATTTCTAATATTCCCCTGACTGTACATGCCTTTAATAACTAAGCCTTGTTATTACAGCTACGTTTATCCCTCAAACAATGTTAAAAGCCTTTTATGTTCTAATTCACTTGTTCAAACGAACATAAAGTATTTATGTGCACGTCGCTACTTAATTTCTGAAACCTACTTCAAACCCAAACTGTATACTATATCATTCTTGGTATAAAATAAGAAACACATTTCTGATTTTGTCCAGCACGGTGACCATGTCATTTTATTAAACATTATACAAGCTAAATCATCATTTCACTGTCCACAAAAACATTGGATTCACTGAATGCAAATACACATGTACGTAACGTCCACTAAATAAAATTTTTTATGGTACACTGGCCTTACAGAATATCTAAAAATAAACAATTATCATAATTAGTACACATCCAATTGATCTCTGAATTACATTACAATTCTACACTACTGTAAATATGTCTACACTGTAGTAGTAATCAACGTGGTCACTGCCTAACCTCGATAACTGAAAAAACGTGATCCTTTTCTTATATACTACCCGCGAAATCCAAACCGGTTCTTACCCTAGGTACTACGCGACTAAAAATAACTACGCGTAGAGCACATAAATATATGTCTTATTGATTTACTATGGTTGAAGAAAAATGTATTAATCTAATTCAAAAAATAGTTATCAAGGCTATATATATTTAGTTTCTGAGCAAAGTTTCAAGAAATCCCATGTGCCCATTTAAAATGAAAATATTTATGATTTATTTAACAAATAACAAACATATGTTACTACAGATTTAGAAAATTTGAGGAATAAAGAGTAGACAACTCATGAAAGTATCTGTAATAACACATGCAAGATATTTTTCTCTAATAACCCTATAGAGTTATATCCCTGACTGTATAATATGTTGTTTGGACTTCATCTGAGTCTCATGTAAAAAAAATGAATGGATTGCTTACATAATCACTACGCAAAGTATGGTTATTTTCTGAAGAAACAGATAGCCTTTTGAAATACAGCGGATGGCTTGTAGTTTAATTATTATTAAATTTCATGACTAGCACCGTCATATTAAAAGTAAAGGGAGATAGCAACTAAACTATAGTACATATATGTGTAAGACCCCTTCTGCAGATTTAAGGGTGGGGTAACAGAACTCCAGCGGCACCCCCTATCAATTAAGTATTGAAGTGCCCCCCCCCCCCCGAGACATAATGACATTGATATTGATTACGTGATGTCATACACATACAGCCGCGATATCATGGCGGATATAGAATAGTTGCAGTTGACTGTAGTACATATGCAATTTGTCTGTATTTACTACTCAGTATATAATAAACTTTTTTTTATATAATGAACAATGGCCATCTAATTCATTTTTTTGGGGTGCATTCGTCCTTTAAGGATACATTTTTATGCCCCCGCCGTAGCGGTGGGGGCATTAAGTTTTACCCTTGTCCGTCTGTACGTACGTACGTACATACAGCTGTCCGTACGTCCCAAAATTGGTTTCCGTTCTCTAACTTGAGTTTGCCTCAACCAAATGTTATGAAACTTATACAAAATGCTTATTACCACAAAACACAGATCAAGTTTGAATTTTGGTGGTGTCACTTTTAACTGTTCTAGAGTTATGCCCCCTTTATAAATGGAAAAATTGCTAAATTATTAGTTTCCGTTCTCTAACTTAAGTTTGCCTCAACCAAATGTTATGAAACTTATACATAATGCTTATTACCACAAAACACAGATCAAGTTTGAATTTTGGTGGCGTCCCTTTATAAATTTTCTTCTAAATATCAAGTAATTTTTAAAATTGGAGTTATCTTCCTTTGTCCATGATTATAGTTGAATCAACTACAATCAATGCTTTATACAATGCAATGTTTAATTTTGACTTCCACTGATAAAACACAGATCAAGTTGAATTTGGGTAGTGTCACTTTAACCATTATTGAGTTATGCCCCTTTATAAATCGAAAGAAACCTATACACAATATTCATTACCACAAAACTAAGATCAAGTACAAATTTTTTGTTTCTGTTTTCTAACTTTAGTTTTCCTCAACCAAATGTTATGAAAGTTATACACAATGCTTATTACTACATAATACAGATAAAGTACGAAATTTGGTGGCGACACTTTTACCATTCTTGAGTTATGTCCGTTTATCAACATAAAAATTGCTGAATTTTTGATTCCGTTCTCTAACTTTAGTTTGTCTCAACCAAATGTTATAAAACTTATACACAACCGTTCTAGAGTTATGCGTGTTTACAAATAGAAAAATTGCTGAATTTTTAGTTTCTGTTCTCTACTTAAGTTAGCCTCAACCAAATGTTATGAGACTTACACACAATGCTTATTACCACAAAACTCAGATCAAGTTTAAATTTGGGTAGCGTCACTTTTACCGTTCTTCAGTTATGTCCCTTTATAACTATATGATATGCAAGCGGGGGCATCATCTGTGTCCACATGTGGACACTATCCACATTTATTTTCAAATATTTCTCATTAAGATCCGAACAATTTATTAGAAACTTAATGTCAATATATATATTTTCTCCTGATTTACCGTAGAAATAATCTTTAAATTTATTCACTTTCATTCTAGTAGACAATTTTTTCTAAAGGAATTCAGAATCAAACAATTCTTTAAAAAAAAAACCTATGCCTCTCCAAAATATGGATGGCAGATGCCTGAAAGTACAACTTGATGCCATACTTACCAAGGTATAACTTTTTTCAGGCTATGCATGATATTAAAATGAAAAGGAAGCACATTTTTTTTAGAAAAATGTACAATACCCAGCTGATATCTGAAACTACAACATTTGTATCTAGGCTGCATGCAGGTAAAAAAGTAAACTTGTGACAGACAAGGCTTCCGTGCTCATACCGTAAAAACATACACCATAACATTCCTTAAAACTGTTCCTTTATTTTTTGTAACAGCGGTATAGCTTATTTTAGAATAACGTCTTTCCAAATTAAAAAAAAAATCCATATTATGATCTATGCCAGGAAGTTACCACAATGCAATAGAAAGACATCGGTATATCATGCTTATTTTTGTGTTGTAGTATTCAGATATATATACATCATTGTTTATACATTGAACAACTCGATTATTTTCTGTTTGGTATACATATGCTTGGGGTTGAATCACATTTGTTTAGTTAACAAAGTTCAAAGTTATTAAATTTATCACATAAAGCACATAGCATATCACATTTCTGACTAATTCATGAGATATTTTCCTAAGTTGAATGTGCAATTTTGCCTATATCACCCTAAACCTTTGAGAAAGACAGAGTTAGCACTTGGTAATGAATATCCTTTATTCAAGCCTCACTGATGAGTCTTGTATAGACGAAATGCCCATCTGGTGTAGAAAATTTTATAAGCCTGGTACCTTTGATAAGTACATTGTATTTACTTTAGGCCTAGTTTAGTGCCATATTCTGTGAGATGTCGATAATTTGCAAGTATATTTCATTTGTCTACATGATTTATTTTCTTATTCTTGATTTGTTCAGTACGGTATACATTTTTTCTTATATCTACAGTATATATATATCATGTTTTATTTTAGAAAATGAACATTATGTCGCTCTCTGATGAAAGAAATTAAAATACCGGGACCCTTCCTCATGCAGTGTATAACAAAGTTCGGGTACATGTATGCTTTGTTTATTAAATTCGAAGTAAACCTGAAAATTCTGTTTCAAAAATCAGATAACACGACCGTTTATATATACATGATATACAACAGTTTATATATATAATTCTTAAGAAATTAGAGAAGCATAATATTTTTGTAACTCGCAACTCGACCTTCGTAACTCGCAACTATACTTTCGTAACTCGCAACTCAACTTTTGTAACTCGCAACTCGACCTTCGTTACTCGCAACTCTACTTTCGTAACTCGCAACTCAACTTTTGTAACTCGCAACTCGACTTTCTTAACTTGCAACTCGACTTTTGTAACTCGCAACTCGACTTTCTTAACTTGCAACTCGACTTTGAATATGGTACCAACAGTTTAGGAATTAGGGGCCAAAAAGGGGCTAAAAACAAGCATTTTTGTAGTTTCCCGACAATAACTTGTGTGTACGTGTATGGATCTCTCTGACATTGTACCACAAGGTTTCATATCACAAAGGGAAGGCTTGGATTGAGTTTGGGGGTAATTGCCTCAAACATGCAGGAATTAGGGGCAAAAAAGGGGCCAAAAACAAGCATTTTTCTAGTTTCAAGACAAAAACTTGTGTTTAAGTGTATGGATCTCTCTTAAATTGTACTACAAGGTTCTATACTACAAAGGGAGTTCTTGGATTGAGTGTGGGGGTAATTGCTCCAAGGGGGGGGGGGGGGGGGGGGGTTCAAAAAGTTTTGGAGGGGAATTTTTTTTCCAATTTGTTTAAGGGGTTCATATTTTTTTTTTCAAAATTTTTCAAATTTCAAATTTTTGAAAAGTTTCAATAAGATATCTTCCATTGCACAGTATTGAGCAATAGATTTTTAAGATCTTTTACCACATTTATTTTGTTTCAGAAACCTATATTATGTCAAAAATTTGATCACAATCCAAATTCAAACAGTGTCAATCTCCAATATTGTGTCCAAATTTGCCCCAACTGTTCAGGGTTCGGTCTCTGCGGTTGTATCAGGCTGCGCTCAGCGAAGCATTTTATTACAGTTTGTTCTGATGTTGTGCTGTTAAGCCACTGTTCCACATGTTCCAGGTTCGGCAGAGAGTTGAACACTCCCAAACATGCTTAACTCCACCACATTCTATCTGTTCAGGTACCTTGTCTAGAGCCTGTAGTCATTGGTAGTACAGTGTAACATTGTCTTTGGTTCATGTCTGTCATATTTGTTTTTCATAAATTGTTTTGTTATAAATTGGGCTGTTAGTTTTCCCATTTGAATTGAATAACATTTTTCATGTCAGGGCCTTTTATAGCTAACTGTACTGTATGGATTTTTAGCTCACCTGGCCCGAAGGGCCAAGTGAGCTTTTCTCATCACTTGGCGTCTGTCGTCCGTCGTCGTCGTCGTCCGTCGTCGTTAGCTTTTTACAAAAATCTTCTCCTCTGAAACCACTGGGCCAAATTTAACCAAACTTGGCCACAATCATCATTAGGGTATCTAGTTTAAAAAATGTGTCCGACGACCCCACCAACCAATCAAGATGGCCGCCATGGCTAAAAATAGAACATAGGGGTAAAATGTAGATTTTGGCTTATATCTCTGAAACCAAAGCATTTAGAGTAAATCTGACATAGGGTAAAACTTATCATCAGGTCAAGATCTATCTGCCCTGAATCTTCAGACAAATCTGACAACCTGTTGTTGGGTTGCTGCCCCTGAATTGGTAATTTTTAGGAAATTGTGCAGTTTTTGGTTATCTTGAATATTATTATAGATAGAGATAAACTGTAAACAGCAATAATGTTCAGCAAAGTAAGATCTACAAATAAGTTGTCATGACCAAAATTGTCAGTTGACCCCTTTAGGAGTTATTGCCCTTTATAGTCAATTTTTAACAATTTTTTGTAAATTTTTGTAATCTTTTACAAAAATCTTCTTCTCTGAAACTACTGAGACAAATTTAACCATACTTGGCCATAATCATTATTAGGGTATCTAGTTTAAAAATTTGTCCGATGACCCCACCTTCCAACCATCATGGCCGACTTGGTTAAAAATAGAACATAGGGATAAAATGCAGTTTTTGGTTTATATCTCTGAAACTAAAGCATTTAGAGCAAATCTGACAGGTGGCAAAATTGTTCATCAGATTTAGATTTATCTGCCCTGAAATTTTCAGACGAATCCGACAACCCGTTGTTGGGTTGCTGCCCCTGAGTTAGTAATTTTACAAAATTTTTGCAGTTTTTTGTTATTATCTTAGATATCATTATGATATCTAATATCTAATACTATTAATTATGATTTTAACCTTATTTTACATGATTTCCAAAGCATCAGTAAGTACAGGTGAGCGACACAGGCTCTTGAGAGCCTCTAGTTCTCATTGTTGAAGGTTGTAAAGTGGCCTATACTTGCTTACTACCACTTCATTTTAACTCTGGTGGATAATTGTCTCATTGGCAATCATACCACATCTCCTCATTTGTATATCTGATTTGTCTGTAATGCATATTTATAGATGGCTGCACTCAGTAGGGATACCTATGAAGGTCCAAGAGGGCCACTTTCAAAGACAGAAGATTCTGAAGATGATATAGATATAGGTAGCCTCCTTGAGATAGATTCTACAAAGAAAAAAGGCTGGGATGATAAACAGAAGCTGATTGAAATTTGTCAAAAGGAGGTTGGTACAATATCCAGTGGAAAACGACCATTGAATATTGCAATTATTGGTTCACATGGATGTGGAAAATCTTCTCTTCTGAATACTATATTTGCCAGCTTTAGTGACGAAAAATGGAAAGAACTAGCAGCACATGGAAGCTACGGTGGATTGGGGAAACAGATTTCACAAAATTTGATCAGGTATAGTCTAACATGAAGCAGTATATAATTATAAACTGCATTTTCAAATTATGAATTTTATTTGACATTGAAGGCAAGACTGCATCATTTGCAGTTAATGTAAGACATAGCTTTAATAATATTTGCCATGCATTTTTGTGCCCAACCCAGGACAGTAGAGGGGAATTATGTTTTCTAGTCTGTCATGTTTGTGTGTTCTTTTGTCCCATATATATTTCAGTTTAAAATTTTGGTTTAGGGTAGCTTTAAGTTTTGTCTTTAGGTAGTTTGTGGTGACATCAACTTGAAAATTAGTGCATTCATGATCATTATGAAGTTAACTGTTTAATATATATGCCAAATAAGGATTTTCCACCCGATTCATGGATCACTGAACATGGAAATGTGATGGTGAGTGTAGGCATGGTGTCTTATGGACACAATGTTTTTATGCATGCCCCTGCCGCACAAAGGGGGCATTAAGTGTTACTCATGTCCCTCCGTCCATACATACGTCTGCCTGTATGTATGTCAGTCCAAAAGTTAGTTTCTGTTCTCTTACTTTAGTTTGCCTCAGCAAATGTTATGAAACTTATACACAATGCTTTATTACCACTAAACGCATATCAAGTTCTGATTTTTACTTTTACCATTATTGAGTTATGTCCCTTTTTAACGTTATATCGCAAGCCGTGGCATCATCTGTGTCCCATAGACACATTCTTAATTTTTTGGGCTAGGTAAGCTTTTTGCATCACTTGGTGACCGTCGTCGTTGTCGTCTGTAGTCGTTGTTGCTGTTTTCATTAACTTTTACAAAAATCTTCTCCTCTGAAACTACGTGGCCAAATTTAACCAAACTTGGCCACAATTATTATTGGGGTATCTAGTTCAAAAAATGTGTCCGATGACCCTGCCTGCCTACCAAGATGGCTGACATGGCTGAAAATAGAACATAAGGTTAAAATGCAAGTTTTGTCTATTACCTTAAAACCTTAATAAATAGAGAAAATTTGACAGTGCAAAAACGTTCAAAACTGTCAGACAACTTCTTATAGGAGTTATTGCCCTTAAATGACAAATTTTACCATTTTTAAAAAATTTTTGCCTATTATCTTGAAATTTATGATAGATAAATAGAGACTTTAAAATGCAAAAAATGATCAGCAAGACAAGTTCTTCAAATAAATCTAACTACATGAACTAGAAGATGCCTGGGAAATCGCGGTACAATTGGGCAAGTGTTGAAACAAAGATTGTGAACACAGTTATAAGGTGGACACAGTAAAGATTTGGACACGGTTAATGCATTTAATTCTATTTCTTTAAAGAGATGAAGAACATAATGCAAAAGACCCCATTCATCTCGGTTGGAAAATAAAAATATTAAATACCCTAAGAAAAGTGTGGCAAAGTGTGATTTTCAGTAGTTTTTTTACCCTTTTAACTCAATAACCATATGAGCGACATAAAATCTGTTGACATTACCGAAAGTGATCAAAATGAGTAACACAATGAAAAAAATCCCATCTAAATCGAATGAAAAATAAAATCTAAAACACTTCATCAGGAATCAACCCCTCTTGTATCTCAGTAACTGTTGGCACTTCTCCAAATCTGTTGACATATGTCGGGTGCCTGTGTTTACAAATAAAAAAGGGGGGGGGGATCACTTCGACACGTTCAACCCCCATTTCATTTTTGGACAGTTCTGCACCTGAGTAAAAAGGGTGGATGTCATTTAATTTAGCAAAATGATGCACTTACAATACAATACAGGATCCTTACAGGCCTAACTGTCCTATTTCCTATCCTTTCTTCTTACTTTCACTTGGATTTCATGGGCAGTATGTAGACTGAGCATGCGCTAAAGAGTATAAAACACGGATCGATAACTGTCTCCGAATTTGGATATTTTTTCAAAAATTGGCGTTTTCTGTGGAAAAAAGATTGTTTCAAAGACAAATTTAGGAAGTACAAAACACTACATTTATACGTCATATCACAAATATTTCGTACTTTGTATGGTATCAGTGGAGTTGCGGCTCAATGAAATCGGTCTCTTCCTTTAGTAGTATAGATGATCGAAATCGTCAGTGGACTCTTTATTAAAGTTATATCCCGTTGATGACAATTTTTACCAATTTTTATACGACCGCAAAAAAATTTTGTGGTCGTATATTGGTATGACGTTGGCGTCGTCGTCGTCGTCGTCGTCGTCGTCGTCGTCGTCCGGCGTCGTCGTCGTCGTCCGGCGTCGTCGTCCGAATACATATTGGTTTTCGCACTCTAACTTTAGTTTAAGTGAATGGATCTTTTTGAAATTTGACCATAAGGTTAAATACCACAAAAGGAAGGTTGGGATTGATTTTGGGGGTTATGGTACCAACAGTTAAGGAATTAGGGGCCAAAAAGGGGCCAAAAATGAGCATTTTCTAGTTTCCAGACAATAACTGTGGAACGGTGTATGGATCTCTCTGAAATTATACTACAAGTTTCCATACCACAAAGGGATGGTTAGGATTTGCTTTGGGGGGTTATGGCTCAAACCGTTTAGGAATTAGGGGCAAAAAAGGGGGAAAAACAAGGTTGTCCTGGTTAATGGACAAATACTTTAGTACAAAACATAATTTAAAGCAGTCTAAGGGAGATAAATCAAATACATCATTGAAATTATCTCCCTTACACTGCTTTTAAATTATGTATAAAGTAATGGTTAATGAACAATAAAGATAATCTAAAACAGTGTAAGGGAGGTAATCCAAATACAACGTTTTGGTTACTTCCCTTACACTGCTTTTAAATTATGTTTAAAGAAATGCATATTTATAAAGGAAGACCAGTAAAAATATCTGCAAATGTTTTCATCTTTTTTTTTTACAAAAAAATCCATATGAAAGATTTGACACTATATTTTTATTAATTCTATTATAAAATAGATTAAGTTAGCACTATGGTAAATTTAAATGGGTAATTATGGTTGCCAACTCCATTGGAAATTTGAATTGAGATTATGACCATATCTTGAGGGAAAGAATTTTTTTGGGGGAAAAAGGGGGGGGGGGGGGATAAAAAGAAATTGTGGGGGGCCAATTTTTTCTCATTTCAGATTTCAGAAATTAAAAAGAATTATTCTTCAAATATTTTTTTTTTTTCAAATTTCAAATATTGAAAAATTTCAAGAAGTAATCTTTAATTGCACAGTATGGCGCATTAGATTTGTAAAATCTTTGATCACATTTATTTATTTGTTATGCCGAATCTAACAGTGTATTTAGATTTTTAATTTTGGGTCCAGTTTTCAAATTGGTCTACATTAATGTCCAAAGGGTCCAAAATTAAACTTTGTTTGATTTTAGCAAAAATTGAATATATGAGGTTCTTTGATATGCTGAATCTAAACATGTATTTAGATTTTTGATTTTTGGCCCAGTTTTCAAGTTGGTCCAAATTGGGGTCCAAAATTAAACTTTGTTTGATTTCAACAAAAATTGAATATATGGGGTTCTTTGATATGCTGAATCTAACCATGTATTTAGATTTTTTATTTGTGGACCCCGTTATCTAATTGGTTCATATTGAGGTCAAAAGGGTCCAAAATTAAACTTTGTTTGATTTCATCTAAAATTGAATTATTGGGGTTCTTTGATATTCCAAATCTAACGGTGTATTTAGGTTTTTAAATTTGGGTCCTGTTTTTTAAATTGGTCTACATTGAGGTCCAAAGGGTCCAAAATTAAACTTAGTTTGATTTTGACAAAAATTGAATTCTTGGGGTTCTTTGATTTGCTGAATCTAAACATGTGTTTAGATTTTTGATTATGGGCCCAGTTTTCAAGTTGGTCCAAGGTAGGGTCCAGTATTTAAACTTTGTTTGATTTCAACAAAAATTGAATATATGAGGTTCTTTGATATGCTGAATCTAAACATGTATTTAGATTTTTGATTATGGGCCCAGTTTTCAAGTTGGTCCAAATTGGGGTCCAAAATTAAACTTTGTTTGATTTCAACAAAAATTGAATATATGAGGTTCTTTGATATGCTGAATCTAACCATGTATTTAGATTTTTTATTTATAGGCCCCGCTATCAAATTGGTTCATATTGAGGTCAAAAGGGTCCAAAATTAAACTTTGTTTGATTTCATCGAAAATTGAATTATTGGGGTTCTTTGATATGCCAAATCTATCCGTGTTTTTAGATTTTTAATTTGGGTCCTGTTTTTTAAATTGGTCTTCATTGAGGTCCAAAGGGTCCAAAATTAAACTTAGTTTGATTTTAACAAAAATTGAATTCTTGGGGTTCTTTGATATGCTGAATCTAAACATGTGTTTAGATTTTTGATTATGGGCCCAGTTTTCAAGTTGGTCCAAGTTGGAGTCCAAAATTAAACTTTTTTTGATTTCAACAAAAATTGAATATATGGGGTTCTTTGATATGCTGAATCTAACCATGAATTTAGATTTTTTATTTGTGGGCCCGGCTATCAAATTGGTTCATATTGAGGTCAAAAGGGTCCAAAATTAAACTTTGTTTGATTTCATCAAAAATTGAATTATTAGGGTTCTTTGATATTCCAAATCTAACCGTGTATTTAGATTTTTAATTTTAAGTCCCGTTTTTTAAATTGGTCTACATTAAGGTCCAAAGGGTCCAAAATTAAACTTAGTTTGATTTTAGCAAAAATTGAATTCTTGGGGTTCTTTGATATGCTGAATCTAAACATGTGTTTAGATTTTTGATTATGGGCCCAGTTTTCAAGTTTGTCTAAGTTGGGGTCCAAAATTAAACTTTGTTTGATTTTAACAAAAATTGAATATATGGGGTTATTTGATATGCTGAATCTAACCATGTATTTTGATTTTGGACATTGGACCATAATAGGTAAATTAAAAAAATTCAAGTTCTTAGACCACATTCTTTCTGTGTCAGAAACCTATGCTGTGTCAAATATTTAATAGCAATCCAAATTCAGAGCTGTATCAAGCTTGAATGTTGTGTCCATACTTGCCCCAACTGTTCA